CGATTTCTCTGGGGAAAGACACTCACTTTTAGTTTTCCGACAAGCTATTAGTACTTATTTTGTCGCTCGCTAGCCATGTCTCGAATCGATTCATTTTTTACTAAGGCAACTGCCGAGGTCCCAGCTTCTATGTACCGGACAACACCACCCGCCCCGCCCCGCCACCACATCCTCCAAAAAGAGATACCGTAACAAAATATCAGTGTGTCGTCTCGTATTATGTTTTTCAGTGTTATTTATTGTAGTTGATTTAAAATATATTATTGTATGTATAGTTTAATTGTAGATAATTTCAAAAAAATAGTACAGCAATTAGCAATAAAGCATAATTCTATTCTACTCTATTCCAGTGAGTTTTTCACGTTACCATGTTTGTTTACATTTACGGGAGCGTGACATAAAACTGTCGTCTCCATGGCAACAAAACAGCAGGTGACCTGGTTGCGTCAGATTTCTTGAACGCGCTTGTAGTTTGTTTTAAAATTGGGTCAAGTCTCAGACTAGTACTACACCTTTACTCTAATCTCAGGAAAACGATATATTTATTCAGTTACCGGTGATACACACTTCGAACCCAGTTTTAAAACGTTGAAAATTTATTCAAACAAATCGACCACTTCGGAAACATTTTCTATATTTATTCAGTCAATTGGCCCACCCCCAAAAATATTTATTTTTACATGGCCGAATTGATTGAGTTTTTATAGTACCAATATATGTAGTATCAAAGCAATTGGACTTGCGGTTTTTAACAAGAAGTCGAAAATATCACTTTTTACCAAAAATGACAAAAATATTCACCAAAATTAGAGAATTAAAGATATTAGAAAATGAACAAATCTGAGAGAGGTCCACATGTAGTACCTATATATGTAATATCAAAGCAATTGCACTTGCGGTTTTTAACAAGAAGTCGAAAATATCACTTTTTACCAAAAATGACAAAAATATTCACCAAAATTAGAGAATTGAAGATATCAACATGAAATGAACAAACCTAAGAGAGGTCTACCCAAGGTACATATGCACCAAGTATCAAAGCATTCAGGCTTGTAGTTTTCAAGAAGAAGTCGAAAGAGTAAAACATTGACACGGACGACGGACAATCACTCATATGATAAGCTCCGCTCGACAAAGTCGACAGCGGAGCTAAAAATTAGAGTGCAAATTAGAAGGATAACAGTTTTAAATTTGTTTTGAACACGGCAAATACAAAACACAATGAGGAAATTGATAGTTTTTATGGTACCAAGTGGGATTGAAGTACTGTAAGAGTAAGCTATTTGGTTGATGCAGGGCTTGGATGTGAAAACATTTGATTGTACTAACAATGTTCAGAAAAAAAGTGTCACATCGCTCTGGACAACGTTTTAGTTCTGGTGATCTCACAAAATACAACTTATTATCCAAAACATTCATCATTCAGGCAAATATAGAAAATGTACAGAGTAATATTTACCCACAATGGGGATTCTGAAAATCACCCAGTGAATTTGAACCAGTGATATTTAAAGATGATAATATAATGTGTTACAACAAAAATAAGTTTTTGCAATCAAATGACATCACATTGATTAGAGTTATTTAACCATATTCAAATTCTGGTTCATTTCTTATTATCCATCAACAGTCTAATAGATGTAATGAATACAATAGGATATATTACCTTCTAAATCCTCCACCGCCGCCGCTGCCGCCACCACGATAACCACTACCACGACCACCAGGAGATCTGTCAACAGATAACAAATGTATAGTGTTAAAACAAGCAACTCTTATGACAGACAATCATGACAGTCTCCATCTACCGTGCTATATAAAGGTTTTCATTCCAATCTGAGGTCAAACCTAACATTTTTAGAAAGCATTAATATTTAATTCTTCATTCACTTGCTTGACATCAAAGTAGAATAATCCCAAAAGCTGCAAAAAATCTAATTGAATTTAGTTATCATTGGCCACAATCTGATGAGCTAAATACGCTCATAATTACTACAATATGTACACAGTGGAATTAATTTGAAAGATGATCTTTAGAATCAACTTATGCATTATATATGAATGATTCATCACAGTATAAGTGCAATGTTGATGGCTAATTATCAAATGAAGAAAAAATCCAACTGTGTTATAATGCTTTACAATTTATCATTCTCTTTTACTGGAGAGAAAACTGTCAAACTTTGGGAAAAATACTCTAATGCACTTAGTCTCCATTACTGTGCAGTCACAAACCAACATGGCAAACCCATTGCCATCAATGATACTGAAAGTAGTGAATATTAATTGAGATTTTCTGGCGTCATTCTGGATAAAAAAGAAAACATGGATTGTTGAAGCACCTGCTACGTCTGTTCCTATAAGGTGATATTGAACGAGACCTGTGGAGAGGACATAGAATTTGAAGTGAGTTGATGATACTAATTCATCTGAATCACCATAAGTAGAAGGTTCTCAACATCCCCCCTCCAAGTATTTCTGTAGAACTTGTGTCAAAAAACAAATGCATTCAATACATTTTTTACTTAGTTTCACACAATCATGTTAAGCTGTTTACTTTCGACAGTTTTGTGAACCAAGACATGCATGGATGATTTCAACATGAACACGTTTAGACATGTTTGGCATGATAACCAACACCAATTTATGCCAAAGATTGTCAAAAGCAAACAATATGAGTTAATAAATTGGTAATTTTGCAAGTCTGGGAAAAATCACAGAATTCTGAAGCATTGAAAAATGTCACTCATTGTTCGTAGAAAGAATCGGTTACATGTTTTATGCGTACATACAGAATCTTGAGTTCAGGTTGAATTTCACGGTGACGTAGACGTTCATGGTGACACATCATTCGGCTATGTGAACATATGCGACAACGTTATCTGTATACGTAAAACATATAGCCTAGGCCACAAAAAATGTAATCGTTTCTTTTCAATCCTTTATGTGATTTATATGAAACAATTAAACAGCCATACAGAAATGCAATGAAGAAGTGTAAAATGCTTTGATTGACAAACCAATAAGAATAAATGTATTTGTTTGATGATATCTTGGTTGAATAGCATTAAATCTGATGCAATAAATGCAGGAATTAACACATTCAAAGGACATGTACAAGACTAGAGAGAAAGCACACACAGCAAGTAACAGGAAAGAAACTTACCGGAAACTAGTCCTCCCAAAACCAGCTGCAATTAAAATAAAAAAAAAATATGATTTAAAAAACAGAAAAATGTCAAACCAATATCTTTAAATAATAGAATCAGAATAATCATAACTGAAACTGTTTGAATGTAGGGTCTTACCATATCTTGGATCACGACAATCTCTGGCCCAATGACCAGAGCGATGGCACTTGTAACATTCATCTTCCGCCTGCTAATAAAGATAATGCGAAAAACACTATAAATGATCCAAATAACGTGAAAATATACCTCGCACATAGCACTTTAATATTGGCCTGCATGTATTGAGGCAACTATTTTATGGGATCTTGCTTATCAACATAAACAAGCTCCAGCTTGTTCAGAACACATTAGACTGTCTCATCACTAATACTAAGAAGTTTGAATACATCACACCCATCTATATAACCTTCACTGGATACCCATACTCGAGCGTATTGACTTCAAATTTCTTCTAATCTCGTTCAAGCACCAACCTACTTATCAGCCCTTCTCAAGTTATACAAATATTCATAATTTCTGTTCCAAAACATCGTATCTGATGCGAAAACGTGCCTATCAGAATCTTGCACCAAAACTCTGGAACAATTTGACATTTGATATCAAATTTGTTATTTGTATTTAAGATGAAACTGAAGATTCATCTATTTCAAGAAGCCTACAAGAACTATCATGAATAACTTTCAATTTTTTTTTTTTTTTTTTTACTTCTTATTGTGAAGTGCCTCTGATCAGACCTGGACTGGAATTATGGCACTACAATATACAAGTTTCAAATGCAGTGCCTGCTAATAATGTAGTGTCATGACAGACAGGATTGATTTTTGTGAGGATATCGGTTCATATTGGGACCCCCCCCCCAATTATCGAGTCAGCTTTGAGAGGTCTGTCGAAGATGTCCTTCATTTTTACGCTATTTAGTTTAAGTGTGAAATTTATCTTAAATCATTACAAATTCCACACTGCTGTCAGATAAAGCTTTGCCACATCAAAATATTTGTATATACAATGCTAAAATTTTGACCAAAATGGCTACACTAAGTTTGACTGAAATGGGCCAAGTCAAAAGATAAGAATTTGGGTATGCTTACATAGAAATAGGGTGACAATAACAAAATATGAAATAGTCAACAGCTTGAAATAAAACGTGCCCCTGCAACGCAACTTGTACTAAGTTTAACTGAGATAGGCTCAATTATCTCAATAACTGGTTGTAGCAGGAATTTTGCATATTTTGTGTCTGACAGTCAACCATATTTGATTAAAT